AATTTGTATATATCGTGTTAGCAAATAATATTAGCATTATATACACAAACATTCTCCATTCAAAGTTATCCTGCATCATGGCTGCCACTTTTTAAAAAAAAATCAAGTTTGAATGAAATTGAACTAATTGAACTCTCTCATATAACATCTGAAGCAATTTCAAATGCTTTTGGATGTACGTACGTGCAAGACTACATGTAAACTTCTCCTCCTCCCATTGCCCATTGATGCAAGTAATTCTGCCGACTCCCTCCATTGTATAATGATCACGGCATTGATAAGTTACTTTAGAGCCAGACGTGTATTCCGTCTGATCTGAAGTTTCAACAACAGCATGTGCAACTTCAGGTGGGTTAGGGCAGGGATTGCCATTAGCTGAAAGAGATAAAAACACTTGAGTATTAGGTTATACCTTGTAATCTCTCTATCAATGCCTACATCTACACCTACACCATTTTCTCCTGACACATCTGAAGCAATTTCAAATGCTTTTGGATGTACGTACATGTGCACGTAAAGTTCCTCTCCCCCCATGTCCCATTGATGCATGTAACTGTGGCGACTCCCTTGATTGTATATTGATCACGGCATTGATAAGTTGCTTCAGAGCCAGACGTGTATTCCTTCTGACGTGAAGTCACAACAACAGCATTAGCAACTTTAGGCGGGGGAGCACAGTGACTGAGAATAGCTGGAAGAGATGAAAACATATTCAGTACTAGGTTATACCTCATAACCTTTATAAATGCCTACATCTGATAAAATAAGAATGAGGATGACTCACGTTGACAGATTTTTTCGAGTGATGTTTCACTGTCATTCCATTTTCCCTCATCACACGTTAAGCGAACAAACTGAGCGACGTATCCTTCCTTACAATTAATTGTGACACTTTCACCGTGCATATAATTATTACGTTGAGATTCCACTTCCATATGAGGAATCGCAGGAAGTTCTCCACATGCGCTTTCCTCTAGAATTGATACAGTAACAAACAATTAGGCTGGAATATTACTAAATAATATTAGCAACATAAACAAAATCTCTTCATTCAAAATGATCCTTTATCAGTGCTGCCACTCTTTCAAAAAATCAAGTGTGAATAAAATTGAACATATAATAACATATACATATAACATATAATTCATCCATGTAGCCTGGTCCAAAATGTGCTGTGGCAGGGGTCATATCAGATTTTGCTTTGTATGAGGAATGGGGCAAGATGCATTGGCTGCCAATGTACAGCCAGTTTGTGATAGTGTGTGGGATTGAGCTCTCCTTCAAGAAATACTGATTGTTAATATCCTTGTATTTAAAAAGGTAAAATACCAAACTGGCCCGAATATAAGACAATGTTTTTATACTGGAAATCAGGTTTGAAAAAGTGAGGGTCATCTTGCGTTTGAGGACTAGACAATGTGTTCATAATATCAGATATTCTTGTTGAGTGGAGAGAGTACTCGTGTAGCACGGTCTTCTACAGAGACTGTTGGATTATGGGTTGTTTTGTAGCCTTAATGTAACATGTTTTGCTGCCATGGAGGAAATAAATTCATGATGAGAGTCTCCTGACAACTTTACTACAGAAATGAACCAGGGAGAAAATCTGTCAAACAGCCAAAATTTACAGCTGTTACAGATTATGAGTCCTAAAAGACAGCTGAATCATTCTGACTGCTTCCAAGAGCCTGACAGGAGAGAGAGCGATGAGTCGTGATTGAAGCCTTGGAGGTGGGGTGGGCCAATATAATACAACTTACAGAGAAAGAGGGACACTGATTGCAGTGGATGCAATGAAACACATTTTTACTCATTTTTTCTTGTCTTTCAGGTGTTTGTATAGTCACTCATGACTATAAGTCAATACATGAAACTCTTCACTGATTCCAAAACTTCATTTCATCTTCTAAATAAAAAAGTTAATATTCTACATTAACAAGCCACTGTGGTCCATTTGCTTTATGCTAGTTATAACTGGACCTGTAAGGAATTAAATATTCATTACCGATACACTGTGCAAGAGCCTCCTTGCTGCCACATTTGGTTTCACCCCACCAGGGTTTAGTCACAAGCTTATAACCTTCCTCACAGGTGTAGTACAGTGTCTCATTGTATGGGCCAACCATAAATCCATGTTGAATGTCGGGTTTTTTACATTCTGTATGAACTAAAAACAGAGAAAAAGTTACATCCAGAGAGCATCAATCAAAAGATGGAACAACATATTCTTAGCCATGCAAGTGGTAAAGCAAATATTTCACATTTGTGATGCTCAGAAGAGAAATCATAATGACTTTGTTAAATGCTTGATTTTGCTATAGCAGGTCAAAGTTCTCACCCACTTTAATGATTCACATTTTATTTTGCACAGACATTTACAATTCACAGTTGATCCACACATTCATGTCCTCCAAAGGATCATTTGTAATCAGTTTGGTGAACCCGTAACATTTAATCTTAGTACATTGTGGCTGTAACTTTTGTTCTCATGCATTGTTGTTGTTAAGTTCTGTAAAACAGACGCACACCTACATTCCATACTGTGAAAAGTAGTTTGACACAGTTCGACAATTGATTTCTGATTTCCTGCATCCCCTGACTAGTTCTTTATCTACTGTATTTCAGGACTGGAGTTTCCTTTCAGGTGTGTATGATCGCACATATTTTGAAACTAATTCATGGTACTACTTCTTGTCTTGTCTCATATCCCGCAGTCCTCCAGAATGAGCACATGAATACAGAACATTTACCAATCCTTTAAGAATATAAACCTGTACAACCTGTAAAATGTAAAATGCAAGGCCCCTTTTTTTCCTGACTAATTGTAAAGATGGAAATGAGGCATTGACCTGTTGTCCCCCAGTGTCACTTATTAATGAATCAGTTTGAAATGATGCAAGAGAAGAATAATAAAATAATAAGATGCATGCAGCAACAGGTAAGAGATGCTTGCAAACCTCACACATTTCACTGTATCATTGCTGTTCTTTAGAAAACCACTTTTTCCTCCAACATCACAGTTTATTTGTGTCTTTACTCGTAGTGATTTATTTCTCAATAATCTGAAGTAAGTGAAACTGTTTTGGAAGTCATTAAGCCTCACAGGTTTGGGCAAGCCAAAGTTAAACATCTGTCATTGTGGGGTAAGCATGAACAACAACAGGAGAAAAAAACTGTGTTTGTCCTTGTATTATTGTAGTTTCTTACCTCTACAATCTTCAGACCCTTCCCAATCCTTTTGTCCACAGGTTAGAGAAAAACGTCCATCATGATTATTCTTGCAGACATACTGAACCCGTTCATTGTACTTGTACACTAACTTAGCTGTTCCTTCAATGTCTGCGTTCTGGAAATATTTTCTATTGCATGTTATCTCTGCAAAAAAGAAATGTAGAGACGGTTACTGGCAAGTGGAAGCTGCATTTTGTTTTTACATAAGAGTTGATAAATCAGATTCAGATAGTTTATGCTGCCGACATCCCTGGCCTGGCATCAGCCAAGTTCATACTAAAGACATGTATGAGTTATGGCCCCAAAAATGTCACCCTTCTTACTCTTCCTACACACACACACACACACACACACACACAAACACACACACACACACACACGCACACACACAATATTTTGTACAACTTTTTAATCATTATTATCACAGTTTTATTTTGAAGATTTCTCCTCTAAAGATATCTAGGAAATGATGAGCTTTATTTTACATCAACCCGAAAGAGACCTAGGCAGAGAACTCGATTCAGTATATATTTATATATATATATGCAAACAGTATATGTACATACATATATGTATACTCATTTTGTCAAGCCTCTGAACCAGGAGTATGATCAATTATGATTCAACAAGGTCCTCTTAGACAAAATTTCTTCAAGCATGAACGTTGGTGTAGCTTTACTTACCTTTTTTCTTCTTAAGCGTTAACTTCAACATTTAACCAACAGTTTTGACTATTTCTTTAATAAAAGATTTCAACACGTCTTAACAAAATAGTGTTTGTCCTTTAACTGTGTCTGAAGTAAGTGCAACTGTTTAACAATGTTTGGAATTGATTGGAAGTCATTAAGCCTCACAGGTTTGGGCAAGCCAAAGTTAAACATCTGTCATTGTGCATAACCATGAACAACAATAGGAGAAAAAAACTGTGTTTGTCCTTGTATTATTGTAGTTTCTTACCTCTACAATCTTCAGACCCTTCCCAACCATTTTGTCCACAGGTTAGAGAAAAACTTCCCTCACGACCATCCTTGCAATTATAATGAACCCGATCACTGTACGTGTATACCTGCCGAGATTTTCCTTCAATGTCTGCATATGGGATATCTTTTCTTCTGCATGTTACCTCTGGACAAAATAAATGTAGAGACTGGTTACTGGCAAGTGGAAGCTGCATTTGGTTTTCACATAAGAAGAACTTGTTCTGGCATTTTCCACTTCAGTACAAACAGGAAAATACAGTTACAATGATTACTTTTAATAATTTTATTTGTATGTACTGCAAATCAAAACTCTCAATCCTGTGTGTGTGTGTGTGTGTGTGTGTGTGTGTGTGTGTGTGGGGGGGGGCGGGCATTAATAGATATTACTAACTGCCTGCCTATGATAAAACTGTAGTTTTATCATACGTTATCATTATCACCATAACATGTTTTTCCCCTCCCCTCAGCATTTTAAAAATGTAACACATTTACTCAGAGACATTTTAACTGACTTACTTTGTACTTTTATCTGAGAACATTTTTACACAGTGATTTTACTTCTACTGTAGTAAAATGTCTCTTCAGTAACAGTAGTTAGTGGCCGTTCACGTGCTGACGTCAGGATAGTGTCTCATCTCCAGTCTCTGCAGTTTCTGCTACTGGTAGTTTACTGTCTGAACACGGTTAACATTGCTGTTTTCTTCATCACAGTGTCTAACTACCTGCTGTACATTTAAACTTACACTAGTTCTGCTCCAGCACTCAGAGCTCTCTGCTCCTTTTAGCACGTTAATTCAGCAGTTGTTTACATGCTACTCAGATGCTAGTTACTTTAGCTTAGCTGTTTGCGCTAGCTTCTCTCTCTCTCTCTCTCTCTCTCTCTCTCTTGCCTGGTTTGTCTTGATCCAGCAGATGAACTTGTTCATCAGAGTGTGGTGTTTAATGTAGAGGATTGTGATGTTTATTACATCCTCAGTGATGTTTGCTGCCTTACCTTTGACACACGGCTCAGCTCGCTAACCGGAGCTTTCTCTAATCTGTGACTGCAGCAACAAGTGAAAGACGCTTGCAAACCTTAGGCACTGCACACATTTTACTTTGTCATTGCTATCCTTGAAAAACCACTTTTTGCTCCAATATCACAGATTATTTGTGGTTTTTACTTGTAGTGATTCATTTCCTAATAATCTGAAATAACAGAAACTCTTTTTTTTTTCTTTATACAATGTTCGGAAGTTAAAAACATCCGTAATTGTGGGATAAGCATGAACAATAATAATTTACAAAGGGAAGAAAAAACAGTGTTTGTCCTATTAACTGTATTATGCATTGTAATTTCTTACTTGTACAATCAGGAGACCCGACCCAACCGCTTTGTCCACAGGTTAGAGAAAAACGTCCCTTAAAGCCGTCCTTGCAGACATACTCAACCTGGTCATTGTACCTGTATACTGACTGAACTCTTCCATCAATGTCTGCGCTGTTGTAATTTTTTACTTTGCATGTTACCGCTGGAAAAAAAGAAATGTAGAGACGGTTACTGGGAAGTGGAAGCTGCATTCTGTTTTCACATAAGAGTTGGAAAATCAGATTCAGATAGTTTAGTTATATAAAATATTCAGAGACTTTTATTTCTGATCTTAATCCTGCTGCTTTAAAACAAGTGTCCTTTTTTGTGATCAATGTGAGACAGTTTTTCATATTTTTACTGAGTGTAAGAGACTCACTTAGCTCTTCTCTCTTTTAACATTGCTTTTTAGTCTCTTTATCGTTGTTTTTACTGAGAGGGTCTTTATCATGGGAGCTGGCTACAACAAAAGCAACAAAAACAAGTGGCAGCTCCTGAACTTCCTCTCAGGAGAAGCAAAGATGGCGATTTATGTTAGCAGGAAAAAGAGAATAGAAAACAATGAGGGGCAGGAGGCCAAAGACAGTGTGGCAGGCCAACCTCGGGGCCAGACTCTGGTTACAGTTTAGATTTTATAAACAACTTGAGGGTTTTAAAACATGTTGGTGCTACTAAAACATAATCTGCACAATTTTTTACTAAATAATTAATTTTTAAAATGTGATTTACATAACCACTTTATTCACATATTTGTCATCTCAAACATTCAATTCATTTCTAATAAAGTGTTTTAAAAAAAAAAAATCTCTCTCTCACTATTGGAATTAAGGCAAAAAATAAGTTACTAAGTAAAAAGAAGAAAGTGATGAACCTTGTTGTTCAATGCGTTTAACTTCTAAAGACACAATTGGTCATTGAACAAAAGTCCCAGACATGTTCGGCTCTCAGGGCCACCGTACTTTAAGTTGTGGTGACACATGTTTTACATATTATAGATTGAACATGTATCTGTTCTGATGTCTTCAGACCCCTGTAGGGATTTCATCAGCCCAGATGGAGGGCTTTCATACATAAAATCAGTTGACACATGAAAATGCAGTACAAACAGAAAAAAGACTAAACAGAACAAAACTAAGCAAAAAGAAAAAAATAATGTGAATGTATCGTTCTGCATTTCCTTACCTCTACATTGTTGTTGCCCTCTCCAACCATTTTCTTCACAGGTTAGATAAAAATTTCCTTTATAACCATCCTTGCAGACATAACTGGCCCGTTCACCGTTCCTGTATATCTGCTGAGGGTTTTGAACTTCTGCATTCTGGAAATCACGTCTGTTGCAAGTAATTTCTGAAAAAGTTATTTAGACAGTTAGATTCAGTTTAATATCTGTCTCTGAAATGTCACTATGGCAGTAGAGGTCAGTGGATTTTAGTTTGTGGTGCAGCATTAAAAAAAACTCATTTAGAAAATTTACCAGCAACATCTCCTGACAGAAACAATGCCATTGTTAGTCTGGACAATCTACATCCACAGAACACAATATCTAAATGTCTGCAGTTTTCATTAGAAATTGTGTGAATGAAGTGAAAAAACAGTTATTTGAAGCTTGATAAATACGTTGCGTCTTTCTGAATGTGATTAGCAACAGTTATTCCTGTATTTCTGGGGGAGGAGTGTGTATGGGAGTGAATGGGACATTGCTTTGTAGTTCAGATTTATGGAGTAACAGGCAACGTGACACATAAGTTGCAGATTTACTTTTGGTCTCCACTGTCTACAGGGCATCATTACTTGTATTTCATGTAAAGGCAAATAACTACTGTTGCAATGAACGCCATAGACTGGGACCAGGACAGATTGAAAATATAATCTTTGTTTCTGGGATTTTATTGTTTTGGTGGAAAATAAGCTTTAGAGTAAAAACATTGATCCAGTCTGGACCAAAAGCTCCTTCCTCATTTAATATATATGAATAGAAAATTAACATTAATGACAATAACACAAAGTCAACTTCACAGTACCTTGACAGAGTGGATTTGGTCTCCACCCATCTCTGGTGCATGTGGCCTCAGTGGCACCACCTGTTCTCTTATAGCCTCCCCTACATGAATAACGTACAGTATCCCGCAACATTACTCTTTGATCCCAATTCCTCCAGTCATACAAAGTTGGGTCTCGTGGACGGTTGCATGTAACCTCTAGAATAAGAGAGAGACTTGTTAATCTCAATTAATAGAGATATGATTGGAAATCATCATCAAGTGTTGACAAACCACCAAAAACAATCTCATAATGTGTCTCTGGAGACAGTCTGTTTGAAGCCCACAGAGTTTTGTACCTCTGCATGTTAGTTCGAAACTCCACTCTCCATCATCTTTGCATGTAGCAACTGCTGAGATGTCTTGAGGGCGGGAAATGTAGTAGTTGTCTCCACATGTTATTTTTACTGTTCCACCAGGTGGAAACACATTTCTGAAAGGAGGGTCATAAGTGGCTCCTCCGACTGGAAACTGTGGCAGTTTGCATGTTATTGCTGCATTTGTTGTGAAATGAAACATATTTTCTGATTATTTCAGCAAGTAAACCACAACCTCAATTCATACAGCAACATTTTGTAAAGGTGATGTAACTAACAAATTTGGATTACTGAGTTTACACTTACGTTCACACACAGGTGTGGGGCTCCACCCTGCTCTTGTACCTAATCTTGTGCATGTTGGATCTCTGGCCTCAGAGCGCTTATATGTCGGATTGCACTCAAATTCCAAGTATTCATGTTGTTTGTACTCTTGGATATTTCCAAGCACATATCCATTTTCAATCACTGGTACCGGACATGTCACCTCTGTCCAAGAAAAACACACAACCAAGACATTTGTTCATGAAAAGCATAAGTAACAGTAACCACTCAGTTTGAAATGTCCCCGGTTTGAGAGCAGCTGGTGATAAAGTAAAAATTCCTGAATAAAGGTACTACTAGAAATACTTTAACGTGATGTTAAAGTCGGGTTGGGGTTTCATGAGGGTAGGTTAGGTAAAAATATCTGGGGCACACTGGATATTTTGGGTTTTTGGTCAGTACCTATAGAAAGGAAGCATTTCACATAATCCCTGATTATCTGCTTTGGGTCCAAGTTCAACAACTGTGCAGACACTATATAGGTCATGTCTAACTGATTGGTTGTTATGGTGATAAAAAAAGTGGTCAGTAGGTAGTTAGTGGTTGATTAATAGTGGCTAATGGTGTTTTATGTGTGTTTCTGTCTTCCCCTTTCCCTCCCTTTTTTTCGTTTCAGCCTGTTGTACCTCTGCATTTTGGAACTTCATCACTCCATTCTCCATGCTCATTACAATAGATCTGCTGTGACCCATACAGGATTTCATTGCTGGACCTGCAGGTAAATCGAAGCACGTTGCCATAGTTTGCCTCATCTGCATCACCAATCATCTGAACATTATTGTCTGCTGATATCACTGGGCATTGCAGGGCTGGAAGGAAAAGCAAGATAGAAAAATGAATTGGATGGGCAATTTTTTTTTTTAAATTAATCGACCTTAAGAAATAAACACAGACAGTTCCCTCTGTGTGTGATCAAGATCTTTTATTTCAGCTCGTACCTTCACAGACAGGAAGGGTACCGTCCCAGCCTTTCTCCATGCAACGACGGGTGTTTCTGCGACTGACCATTTGATAACTGAATCGAGTGCAATGTAGAAAATGAATAATGGAAATGTCTTATGAAGAGAAGCCAAACTGAAACTGCACACCTTGTTATGCAGGGCAAATTACAGGGATACAGTATAATACTAAAAAGCACAGAAATATATAAGAAGAAACAGTATTGGTTTATGATAATAAATATTTCCATACCCTTTGTGACAGGTGTATACAACTTGCGACCCAAAGACAAAATCTTCGCCTTCCAGAATAAAATCTGCAAACTGCGCATCGCCAGGATGACCACATGATTTCCCTTAAAACATATTAATGAGAGAACATTTGTAAATATATTGTATATATATTACAGTGACGTACATTGGCCCAAACTGCAGTGATGGCACAAATGGTTCTTCCACTAATAATAATACACTGTATTTTGTTGAATATTGTATCTTATAAATTCAACAATAATAATACAATAAGATCTGGCCTGCTTCGGTAATGTGCACATATTCAAAAAACAACACTGTGTAAATATAAGTATTTTAACACACATAATGGCAGAATAAATATTTATTTCCAAACAGTACAATTGATAACTTACGTTGACATGCTTTGCCTATGGCCTGCCATCGACCCCGCATACATTGCAGTTTGAAAAAGCCAGTATAACCAACAGTGCAGCCCACTCTTACTTCCTCTCCAGGAGAGTAGCTGGACTGCAGACCAACTGTGTTAAAATTTCTATCATACAGGTCCCCATTTACAAAGTCCTGAAGTGTACAATCTGCGAGATAGCAATAAACAAAAATAAATATAAATTTGCTGTCAGAGAATGAATTGAATAATACATATTACATGAAACACTTGGTCTTACCTTCACTGCTCACAGAGGTGAGTGTATGCAGCCACAAAAACAGGACACAGCTTTGGATTATGTCCATTGTAGCTTCATTACCCTGAACTGCCAAACAGAAGTACAAACTGGAGTCTGAAACACTGTTATACACAGAAGGAGCTGTGGATTTCACAGGCAAAAGGAGATTGCTCAATGGTTTACGTAAGTCTGTTCCAGCCTCCAAATATAACCTTACCCCATAGGGAACAGACAGAGAGGAAGTGACCGCACACAAAACCTTACGTGACATGCTGGATCCTTATCTACAATTAAGCAAAATAACACAATCAGACAGATAGTAGTATATTTTTTCATTTAAAGGTCAATTTTGTAAAGAAATACTATTTTTGTGTCAGTGGTTTCATGCCCCTGTGTAGTCAGGCTTTGTTTATCATTCACTGACAAAAAAAGAGTATTCCTGTAAAAGTTTTGTTTTCTTTCCTGGTAATCATTTGTAGCAATCAATTGAGCAAACAAAACATGCTGCATTTCAGTGAGTCATCCACCTAAAGTAAATATGAGATAAAATAAAAAAAATAAGCAGAATAGCTTGTCAGTGAAAACTATGATCATTCTTTCAAAAAACGAGAAACTATAATTTCTTTTAGTGGGCACAAATGTCACTGGTTATGCTCCACTTATACACAGTTTATCCAATGTATGCCTGCTGCAGGCATTGTAAGGGTGAAAACAATGCAGATTCCAACTTCATTTTGGAAACTGTTGAGACAAAATGTAGCTGTTAAGCAATGCACAGTTTGTCTTCATTTCTCAATATGGCTTCATTTTCTTCACAGTATTTGTCTTGAAAAGAAGCCATGTGTGTGTCTGTGTCATTGAAAACATTTCTCTTGCACAAACTCATTCTTTAGAACATGTGTCAGCAATTTGTGACACAAACAAACAAACAAACAAACAAACAAACAAACAAACAAACAAACAAACAAACAAACAAACAATTCTGATATGTAATCAGTAGGTGAGATACCAAGAAAATTCAGGGACAGAAATGTATTTACAGCTTAGTTTTTTTCGATTGCATAATCACTAAAATCAAAAGTATTACACAATTATCAAAACCTTACACTCACGGAGCAAAACATCGGCCCAGATTTGCACCACTATAAGCACAATGTCAGCCTCACACTTTTTGCAAAACAATACACACAGTGATTTGCAAAACACTAAACACATTTGTATACATTAGACATAGAAGTATATCATGATGTCACTTCCTTGCAATTCCAAAACATTGACTGTGAAATTACCACACCTATGAGCCAATTGGTTAAAGCCATCAGGTGCGCAAACACATAATTGCTTAATTGTAGACACACCAATCAAGTTTATGCACTATATAAATGCAGCACATGAGTTCACCTGTCTTCAACCAAAATGGAAGGAGTCAGAAGAAGAAGAGTGAGGGTGAGAGGGGGAATCCACGACGGAGGAGAAAGAGGTAGAGGAAGAGGCGGAGGCCGTGCCAGAGGTAGAGGCTGAGGTGGAGGTAGAGAAAGAGGAAGACGTGAAGCAGGAGGAGAACGTGCTCAAAGAAGAAGAGGACCAAATTTATCAAATGAAATTCACGCAACACTAGTTGACCATTTTGTCCGTCATGCCAATAAGGGCCCTTACAACACGCCTCGCATTCTCACATTTTTGGGCCGATTGCACAACATCGTCACAGCAGTAAACCAAATGCACCAGATGCAATACATTGTCATCTGGGACAATGTGTCATTCCTCCGCTCTGCTCGGGTCCAGAACTGGTTTCTAAACCCAATCGAAGAGTTTTTCTCTGCACGGTGGTGGATGGTTGACGATCTCCGGCCCCAGGCTAAGGTACCCCTCATTCAGGCCATGGAGGAGGCCTGTGACCAAATCGACGCCGCAGCTGTGCAAGGATGGATTCGACATTCAAGATGGTTCTTCCCACGTTGTCTTGCCAATGAGGATATCACCTGTGATGTTGATGAAATTCTCTGGCCAGATCCAGCTAGGCGAAGAGATAATGTCTAGTATTTTCTGTACTGTATTGTACTGTCAGATTTAAAAAAAAAAATTTTTTATTGTAATTGTAACCTGTACTGGATACAGTATTTTATGTTTGTCTGATATTTGCTGAGCTTACAGTGTTATGCACACTACTAGTAGTAGCATGAAAACTGGGACATGTTTTGTTGTGATTCTCCATGTTGACATGTTGACTGATTTGGGTACATGGAGAGAAATAAATGATAGTTTCATCAGTCTGCAGCATTGGTCTTGTGTAGTGTTTGGTGAATTTATTGTATATTTACACTTTCTCTGTGTACTTCACTTACAGTGCCCTAATCACTGAGAAGTATAATTGCTAAAAGTGTTTCAGGTTAAGCACAGCAGTGTATAACTGGTTCAAACAGAATTAAGTCATATGAAACATGTGTGTTTCATATAGTAACAAAATATGTTTTTTATAAATCAGTGTATAGTTTTTACAGGAGTGTTTCATTTTGCAAAGGATCGGAGGTGTTCTGCTAATTGTGTGTAGTGTTTTGAAAAACCGGGCCCTGTTTTCCAAATCATGCTTAAGCAATCAAAAAAAAACTGTAAATTTCATTTTGTCAGGGGAGAAAGGAATGAAATAGAAAGTGCAACCAAGAACTCTACTTGAACCAGGGATTTTACAATTACATGACCAGCCTCTTAAACCCCTGGGCCTCAAGGTCTCTCCCAAAATACAATTTTTTGGAGAGTATTTCATTTGGCAGTAAATTAACACTTATTATTATTGCTGTATGTTATATATGTATGCTTTCTTTTCAAAAAACCTTAGTAGCTACTAGGTATTTTCAAACTAGTGATTTACTAAATTGGGTTGTAGTATAGTAAATCCTTTAAAGCTCCCATATTGTTTAAAGTGAGATTCCCATTTCTTTTTTGATTTATAAAGCAGGTTTAGGTTCTATATTAATACTGTGAAAGTATTGAAGTGCTCAGTCCACAGAGAAACGTACACAGCGTGTATTCACAAACTGAGCCTTAAAATGAGCCATCAGGACTTCTGTAACTTTGTGATGTCACAACAAAGTAGTCACCACTCTGAGCCATGCCCCAAGCCCAGACCGCCTGAACCCACCATCCAACCTTGCAGGATTTGGTGTCTCTGAGTGTTTACCTGAAATCTGCTCTATTGTTACACGATCACTCAGAAAACAGTCAGCCAATCAGAAGAAAGACTCTTCTGAAAAGCCTCCTCTCTTCTGATTGGCTCATTGACCTGTTGTGACTAGAGCTCCAGAGAGAAGCCTGAGAGAGGAGATATAAAACTACATTGAGATGGTTTTTGGTTCTTAAAACCACAAATATATCTTCTTATGAATATCAACAATTCAAAATAAAACACTGGAAAAGTGTAAAATATGGGACCTTTATTGTGTAAAATGGTTCCTAGAAAACATCTGTAGTGCTGTCTAATCTAATGCAGTCAACTAGGAGATCAATGTAGCATCACAACCTGTAACATAACTGACAGAAATAACAGTTTTATGGGACAAGTGATGCAGTAAACCTAACTTATTTATGCATCCATACATGTATTTCAGTCTTGGCTGTATTCATGCAGTTTAAAATGAGTGGGAAGTAACAGATTATGCTAACCGACAGTTAGTTTGTACTGTTGTAGCTATTGTGTTGTTTTTGTGAAATGTAATTTACATTCTACCACTTCATATTGTTGTTAAAAAGCATTCTGATTGAGTGTCAGTCAGAAATAAAAAAAAAAACAAAAAAAAAACACTTTCTTGGGTTTTTACTTTAAAATATTCTCTGTTGTCATGGTTTTTAATTTGTTATGTGAAGGAACAAAATGTTATATATCTATCTTATTATTTGTTGTAAATTGAGTACAGAATGGCTGTGATCTTTGCTTCTTATTCTATCCTGTCTAACTGTGGCTCCTGAAAATTCAGGCTACCCCATAGACAAACATCAGTCAATGAAACCTTGGTTCCAAAAAGAACACTGGCCAAGTCCAACATTTAATTTATCCTTCCTGTATTCAGATGCACAAGGACAGGGCTGCTCAGGGATAGCTCAGCAGTGACCTCCTGAGGTACTGGATAGATGTTCATCCACAGACACAAAACACTGACAGAAATAAGAGGATATTGTAAACTAGTCACAGAAACTGTTTTCAATAATGTAACAGATCATTTTTTAAAGTAAGGAACTTTTACATTATTTAACAGCCCTTTTCTGTTTGTCTCACAAAACACTAAACTACTAAATATGAGCATCAACACTGATGCATAAATGATTCCTGTTTAGATTAAGCAAATGTTTCTTGAATCTGGTTTATAAAGTCAATCATTGGGGCAGAGAGACAGACAGACGGATATACAGAGCAGAGGTTAAAACAGATGGTACTGAATATTCAAATTATATGCAATTACAGACAAGCAGAATGCAACAAACATAAACTAGGATATGTTACGTTCTCCACTAGAAGCAGGCCATCTGCTGGGTGTTCATCTGAATGCATTTATAGAAATAATTTAGTAAATAAGTTCTTCAAATGCATTTGGGACACACAGCATGTTTTAGTAATTTACAAAAAAAAAGAAAAAGAAAAAGAAAAAGAAAAAGAAAAAGAAACGCATAACAATTGATCAGTTAATTGTTTAAGTAATTTGTCAAGCAAAAATATCAGAGCATTTGCTGTTTCCTCTTTTTTTAGATGTACAGATGTTTTGCTATTTACATATTTGTAAATTACATGAAAATTTTCGTTGGACAAGAGGAGCAATATGAAGACATCACCCTTAGGCTCTGGGAACATGTGATGGTCATTTCAGACATTCGACAGACCAGTGGTTCTCAAAGAGGGGTCCGGGTACTCCCAGGGGTCCTTGAGGGTGCTCCTCAGCATTTATTTTCACTATTATTCCATCCATAAGTAACACAATGACAGAATGTGTGACTATTTGGTCACGGGTTTCAAACACTTTCTATAATAAAACATCTAAAAGCAAAAATCTTATCAGAAGGGGGACCCTGGGACAAAATTGTATTAAATGGGGGTCCATTGTCTAAATTGTGTCAGTTTAGGGGTCCTTGATGTGAA